TAGACACACACACACACACACACACACGCGCGCGCGCGCCAGATACATATATATATATATATATATAAAACAGAGGATTCTTATGTTGTCATAATTTTCTTTATTATTATTACAATATTCTATGTACTTTTGTTTTTAATATTTTTATTGTAATATATAATTGAATATTATAAGAAATTTTATGAAGTTGCCATAAGTTATTGATAAAAAAAGTCTTATGAATTTGAAATATAATGAATATATTTATCAATAGACGAATATAAAGAATTACAATAATTATATTTTCCTATCACTAGTATATTGTTTTTTAATCAAGTAGCAGTTAATCTTATTTTATAAGATCCAGCTAAAGGAAAGGAAAATCGTCACCATGTTAGAGAAACGGGATGCTCTACGACGAAGCACACAATAACAATGTTACAAGAGAAGAATGATGATCTAGTACCAATCTCCAGTGACAGTGATATGGAAATTGTTGGTCTCACAGATGCATCTAATCGAACAAAAGCCAAAGTTAAAAAGAAAAAAAGAAAAAGATTATGAAGTTCTTAGTATCGACGATTTAATTTCTCCATCCTCAGTTGATCTGACTATGCCAGAGCTCAGCACGATGAAAGTATATCGAGAAATTCAGACAGGAAGTCCGCCTCATAAATCGAATGGCAGATCGAGAATGATTCCGAGATCACCGATCCGAAGATATAGATCACCCATAGTAGCACAATCATTGTTTCGATCATCCCGATCCTCACTGAATCATTCCAGGTCACCAGTATTGAAAAGAAGATCTCCATGGAAGTTCAGATCACCGAAGCGTAATCCACGACATCGTTCGCCTATAAGAACAGTGAAGAGACCACTATCGAAATTAGATTCAGCATCATCTATTAATTCCCACGTTGATAAACGCGATTTGACGCGATTGTTAAAAAAGGTGAAGCATCTGGATTCCATAGGTACACATGCATCAGAGCCAAGCATAAACAAAGGTAAAGAGTCATCATCGCTGAAAGAGAAATTGTTGAACATGTTGAAAAGATCTGGCAGTGGTAATCGCAATAGAATACATCCCAAGGAAAAATTAGAAGTACAATCTGAAATGGTCAATGATGCTGATGATGAGGATGACTTGGCATTGCTACGACAAAAAGCATTGGAGACAAAGCAAAAGAAATCTAATAGATCCTTAGATCATCCTGCAGATGTAGAATCAGAAAAAAGATCAACAATGAATAATGATGATCAGGACGAAGAAGCTTTGCAACTGCGCATGATCGCGCTACGTTCAGCAGTCATAAAGAAATGTCAAAAAAGGGCTCAACGTGGTATCAGAGTGCCCAGGAGGTCTACCCGCAGTGAAAGCCCATTCAGTCAGAGTTTTCTCGATAATATACCTGTGCCTGACAATGAACTGTTGAAATATGCATCGCCGCCATGCACACCGTCGCACGATAGTAATCACATCGAGGATATGGAGCTGGATACGGATATTGAAAGAGAAAAAGAGAAGCTGCCATATTCGCCGACTGATAAGATTACCGAGAACGTGCCTATCGACACGATGTTACTCGGTATTGAACCGTCCGATGTGTCGTTCATTAATGTAAATGAAACGATCGATAGTCCGATCTTTGACGATGCTCAGGGCGAAATCGCGTCAAATAGCGGCACACCACTCTACGACGAGGCCTATTTGCCTTATCAAGAATTGCAATATCATGCACATAATGAAATCTTTTATTCAAATGTTGAAAAAGAAATTGAGAATCCTCGCGATGATACCATATGTGATTTAATAGATGGCATTTGTTGCCAAAATAGAACCTATCTTTCGACGGATGTTGTGTTAAATGCATCACATGCTCTTCCGATGATCAAAGATCTTTCTGCGTCTTCTGTCTCTTCTCACGGCATTTTTGCTTCTCCGTTTCAAATGCAACAAATTGTGGAGCAACCTATTAAAAATGGAATAGTATTTACGAACATGGACTCTGCGTTTAGAAATGACAAGTCCGCCAACGAAACGCAGACCGGATATTCTGTTTCAAATGTTCCGACAACAATAGCAACAAGATATCCCATGAAATGCGCCGAATCGGTATCACCGAATGAATTGATAACGATCAACGATTTTTCAGGTAATGGTGTAAACTCGTTAGACTCTCCTGTCTATAATGATAAGAACTTGTTGACAGAGTATATTCCGAAGGAAATAATGTCGTGTCGAGTTACTATGCGGGAACCTCTGTATATGCAGGGTATCCCAGACGTTACTAAAGATGTAAATAAAATACCTACATTAATCAACAGGACGCTAGTGCCTGCGCCAATTCTGCTGAATAAACAGCTACAGCAACCTTTGTCACTGAAGAAACCTGAAACGCATTCAGAGTCAATTTTCAAAAGCGCCGAAATGCAACCGGTGACCATTACCGCTACAGATGTAAGTGCTAGTCAAATCAATAAATCAGTTAAATCAGTAAAATTACAAGTAGCGAAAAAATCTGCGTCCGTATTGTCGACATCCGTCACATTCGATAATACGATAAATGAGACAGTAAATAATGATATGTTGGGTCAAAGAAAAACAATACAAGACGAAATAATTGAACAGGGGCATCCTAACGCTACAGATGCATTGTCTACGAATAGTGAAACCGTTTTGGCACATAAGAAACGCAAATGCGTTAAAAAAAACTGGCGCAAAAGTCTCGATGCTGTGCGATTGCTTGAAAATTTAAAGAATCCGTGTATAGATACTAGTATGATAAATAAGGATGGAAATATTGTAGACGCATCTACGTTAAACCAGCAAATCGAACCTAATCAGAGTAAGAACAGCAATTATGTTGCGAAGGAAAATCCAATAGGAAATGAAAAATCGAAATTGCAAGGTGCCATTAATACTCGGAAGTCGTCTGTCAATTTTAGTGACATTACAGTAGAAGAGAAAAACGTGGAAAAAAACGATCACGCAATGCTACCGACTTCCGTCAAATGTTCGCATGAGAAACATATCGAATCCCATTGTTTGTCAACAAATTCTGTGTTTGACAATTTCGATTCTGATGTACTTAATAAAGTCGCCGATGCAACGAAAGGCGCTAGCGACAGAAGACAAAGTATCGACGAAGACGAAGACGAATTGCGAGCCATTTTATTGGCTTCTTTGAAACGAACCAAGTCAACAGATACCAACAGTTCAGTTGCTCCAACTATTCCTATTATGAATTCTGCTGTAACGAATGTCCAGACGTCTGCAACATCGGCAAGTATCATACCATCTGTGACTAATGAAACATCCACAATAAGCAATAATGCTCCTTTGCCAATTTCATCAAAAATGATAAAAAAAAGATCAGCAACATATCGGCGCAAAATTACAGTAGGAAAAGAATCAGTAGCACAGATTCTACGAGAAGGCCACCGAAAAAAATGGCAAGGAAAACACTCACGAGTACGAAAGTAGTGAATAACGCAAAGCGATATCAAAATATGATAGTGCAAAGAAGACTGAATTTGCGGAAACTCAATAATAGTATAAAGTCTAACGAGAACATGTGGCCTAATGTTGGCGCGTCAAAGATGTCGCACACATCTGATACTCAACGATTTGTAATAAGTTTAGACTCTGATACGGACAGCGAGTCCGAGGGTGAGAAACATAAACCTATCTTACTTACGAAAAAGGATCAAGTGCATCAAGAAATTTCCACTGACTTTGAAAAGAATTTAAATAAGTTTCTGCGTGAAGTGAGAACAGAACAGGAATCTACAGCGGCAGCAAAGTCATTCAATTCGTCCATGCAGGCGACAAAACGAGACCTATCACAAACGGATAACAGTTCATCTAATATGCACACTCCATTGGTAAGGCGATTACGTATTATCCAATTGTCCTTTTATGCAAGTAAGAACAATTTAGAAAAAGATTAATAGTATCTAAATATAATTTGAGAATTCATCTTACTGAAGAAGATATTGATCATTTACAGAAACTTTCCTAATTTATTCTGCAAGGTTTTTTATTTTGTTATAGGCTGTGAGACATCTTCCTGCATCACAGCAAGAGGAGTATCGTCGTTTGAAGCAGGAGATCTTGGAGCGTGAAAAATTGAAATTACAGAAAAAAGTAGCAAGTAACAATAGTAATAATAATAGCAGCAGCAATAAATTGTCAAATACTAACGTAGCGACGAATTCATCAGTAAAATCTTTGCTACTATATGAAAAGAAAACACATGTTAAACAAAATCAGAATAAATTAAAAACAGAAAAAAATTCCCAAGAAACATTAACGGAGATCAGAAAAAAAAGCGACAATTTGATGAAAAACACATCGAAATCAAACATATGTTGCATGGCTGCTGATAAAAAATTATCAGAGAATATCGCTAAACATACCAATTCCGCACATTTACAAGCTAAAAATAGCAAAAAAACGATATTGAATAATCTCAGCATTCGGATTACTAATGTTATTTCTTCAAGTCATATCGGAGATAAAACAATCGAAAATTCCTGTGAGAAACAGTCTGCAGCAAGGAAAGACAAGCAGCAACATAAATCTGCATTGAGTACATTAAACAAAGACGAAATAAATCGTAAATGCATGCAAGTACTATTAAAGTCAGATACAATTGAACGAGTCGTTACTATAGATGAAAATCCAGCTTTGCAATATGACACAACGGCAAGCACTAGCCAAAATGAAAAATCGGCTGATGTCAACACAGAAATTCTAAACGAAAAAGATCAAAATAATGAAAGTAATAGTAATTCTAGCATTTTTTCCAACATATCTACTGTGAAGCTTTCAAATTCATTTACAAATTCGAGTCAACAAGAACACGAAGACACGCTAGAAACCACAATGCCGTTCTCTCAATACGAAATTGAATGTCAACATAAAATTAATAACAATGCTTCAATGTCTGTACTTGCAAACAACAATAATAATAATAACGCTTCTCGTAAATCTGATTTCATAACTGTTGATAACAGTAATACAAATGACATTTGGAATGTGCTTAAAAAAGATGTTAAAACAGAATTGGATTTTCTGATGAATCTTTCGGAAGTGGAGCAAGAGCGATACTTGAGAGAAACCGAGCATCAATTAGTTGCGAGACGGTAATTACACATTTGAAATGGAGACACAAATTGTAACAATAAGTCACATTCACTACGAAATTTTTTAATTATGTATATGGTATAGGTATATGGTCTTGGATCATTTAGCAGAAATGTCAGGAAATCTTCGTCAATGGGACATGGAAAAGGATTTGCAGACTACCCTAGCCAACGAAGTAAGAAAACTTAAGGAACAATTGAAAATAGCCGAAGAGAGATTACAGTTACAACGCAATCGTGTTAGCAGTATGAGTCCAAAGGTTTCATCCGCACGCCAAAAGATTAACACTGGACGGCGCGAGTGTTTCAAACTATCTAAAATTTGCTCGATTTTGGGTAATCGACTCATGGGAAAAAGTTATAAGTACGCAAGAGCCATAGATATGCATACTTAACATATAATAATTTAAATCAATTTTTTATATTGTATGCGAAAAAAATAAATTCTTATTTTCTTTTTAATATATTTAAGTTACGAAGATTTATGAAGATTGTTCTTTTAGATTGCCAGAGGCAGTAGCTCAACTCTTGACTGACAAACTTAAGGAAATTGTTAATCATACTCGTCAATTCACCAAGAAGAAGCGACTCCAACCTAATGATAATGCTGAAAATTCATATTCTAATTCCTCGCAAGAAGTTTTAGAATTATCTAAAGATACTTGTACTGAGGAGAATTTGTCTTTTCAAGAACAGCCAACTGCGATCGATCTAGCAGAAATGAAGAGCAATACTTTTTGTTTGGAACAATTTAATGATGATAAAAATCTATTGATGATGTCAAAATCCTTGTTGGATGCCTCGCAAATTCCATGGATTCCAAAGCGATCGTCAGAAAAAAAGGAAGAAACTTCAACAAATGCATCAGAATTTCATAACGATGAACAAATTATACCACTTAATCAAACTAACATGTTTTCTTCTGAACCAAAGCTGTATCAAAATATCTCTGTAGAACAAAATAGAAAGCATACAGAAATAAGGAGAACAGACGAATCTGATCTCACTATATTTTCAGCATTAATGATAGATCCTTCCTTGAATCAAAATGATGAACAAAATAATAAAACTTTGTCGCAATTGCCGCTATCATTATCGCCAACAACAACGATAGATACAACGACGATGACGATGACGACGACAACAACAACAACAACAACAATGACGACGACGACAACAACAACAACAATGACGACGACGACGACGACGACGACGACGACGATAAAAATGAAGGCGATTGCACCTTATGTATCAATATTGATGCATTTAAAGAAATCAAGGTGAGTTTTTCTTTTTGAATATATAAGTAGTTACAATATTTAATTTTCCATTATCTGTAGATTATACTAAAAATTTTGAGAATTTTTGTGGTTTCTGTTATTTTTCTCGTCCAGGAACATCAACCCTTATGGAATCCTGTGTCCGTATGAAATGATGGGTATTTGCAGAGATGAGGATTGTCAGTATATTCACCAGTCGAGGAATCAAACTTGAAATAATATATTTCACACTACCGAATGTACTCAACATGACATACGTAAGGTGGTTCTAATTTTTCGTCAAATGTGACAATGTGAATTGCACACTTTAAGTTGATAGCGTGTTAGTTTGTGAATGTCATAAGTTTGTGTTTAATTTCTTGATTATTTTAATTTTTACATTTTAATCATATTTTATAATACAGGATAGGCCAGGACAACGAGATATAACGAGATAGGAAATTAATAAAAATAAATAAAAAATGTTAAAAAAGATTAAAAAATTAAAATATATTGAACATTTTTTCATATAATGCTTTATTTCCAAGAAAATTAATTTGAAAATTTATTGAATATATGTATGATTTGAAAATTATTCTTTGTAATTTTTAAATCAATAATTGAAGCATCACAAGTATTTAGTATTAGCAGTATTAAGTTATATCTATTATATTCATAGTCAGCATAAAAATTTCATTGATATTGATAATTTAATCCATTAATAAGTATCACACAATCAACATTGGGAATTAACGTGTTATTTGTAACGCTGTTATTATCTATTTTTTTTACTTTTTTTTTTTTTTTTTTTTTTTTTTTTTTTTTTT